CCCCCCCCCCCCTGAGGTGACCTGCGGTTTTCTAAAACAACTGGTATTCTGCAAAAAAAAAAACTATGTGGTTTATTGGTGTTGAAGTAGAGCAAGAGACGAGTGCACCCCCTCCTAAAAAAATCCTGGATCCGCCCCTGAAGAGAGAGTGGCTACAACGAAACTTCTTCGTAGCAAACGTATTTTGCCAGGTCTCTTGGCTCTTCATCATATCGAGGTTCCAGCAAAGGAGGCCTGAAAACTTGATGTTCAGGGTAAATGCAACAAGTAGGCAGGGAATCAAACAGCTAGGGATTTCTTTTGGTTCTCTATTTCTTTTATTTTCCTGGTATAAAACTATCCGGGGACCATATTCATAGTAGCCGGGGAAAATCCCCAGCCCCTGCCTCTTAATGACAGCCTTGACTTGGATATTTATATACATGTACCTGTTACGTGTTGGTCAACCTAGTTTGATTATCAATTTCCTTTGTCTCCCAGCCCTAATTATTCTTTGGTGATGTAGGGCTAGAAGACAAAAAAAATGAGATTCAACTTAGATTTTAAAAAGTTTAACCTGAATATAATATTGACCTGTAATGTACATTTTAATTCTTCTCCCTTTAATATCCTAGTTCTTCCTGTTGTTAATCAATCAGCGTGCAAAGAAAGTAGTGTCCGATAGCCCGGGGCTAGTGGATTTTGCTATCGGGCTAGTGAATTCTGTTTTTAACTTGCCCGACGGGCAAGCGATGTTTAATGAGGAGTTTGGATAACAGAAGAACAAAACGTTTTTGGGGCTGGTTGAAATGACGTCTGGGCTAGTGAATGCTAGCTTCAGCTTGCCCGAATGGCAAGCTGTAAAAATGATTTTCTTTGCACCCTGTCAATCTACTGCTATATCTCTCTATTGTTCCTCTCTTGTAAACTGTAAAACATCTTATTTAGGCCTTCAGTCCAAGCTTCTCAAGACAGAGATGGAAATGGTTGACTTCCGACAAAGGTATATCAAAGAAAAGTCAAGAAGAATGACATTGCACAACACTCTTGTGGTACGTTTCTGCTACATAATAGGTAGAGGTGATAGATTGATTCGG